TTGCTTTATCCTACTTATGTAAGCTGTTATTGTCAATTACCAGATGTGCTCGCTGGTCGTGTGGTGTCACAAACTCACAACTAAAAGGAGACATAACCCGTTATTTGATGATGATGATGTGTGTGTGTGTTGCACAGTGTGAGGACCCAAAAGTACCAGAAATTTTCAAAAAGGCCAGAAATTTGGGGTATTACAGATACAAGTCACCAACAATGGATTCCTCTCGTCGAAGAAAGTCACGAGATATTGGACCATAGAAATATAAAATATCAGCAACTCCCCTACCTGTGTGCAGCTGCATCAGAATTTGACCAAGCGAGCAAGATAACGTAGTGAAAGATCCAAGTTTCGATGATTCTTTATACTCTGCAACTTGTGTCAAAACTAAGGCCTGCCCTTCCAGCATGGCAGCAATCGTCGATGCTGCCTCAACACGTACCTGCACATAGTTAAGTCAGGTCATGTCCATCATATACACGGGAACTTATAAATGGAAAAGGCGCTGAACCGATGGGACCATAATTCATACATACACGGTATACAATATTGTGGCATGCATCAATCAATGTACACCGCCATGCAAACAAGAGAAGAATTTTGCAAATAAAGGATGTAAATTATGAAGGGTCCAGATCACTTTGTAGCAAAAATGTAATACAACATTATTCGTTTTGGAAAAAAAATCCCATAAATAAGATAGCTCAGAATTGTTAAGAGTTGCATATCCTTTCCATGTGTATTAGTCATGTGATATCCCCATTTGTATACAGGAGTTTCCTCCGTTGTATACAGGGTTTTCTGCATATTTACGCCTCACGAAAATACTACTCCCTCTTATATTATGGGACGGAGGGAGTAGTTGTGTATCGCCTCACAAGAATGGACTATGCAATTAAATGTCTTCAGTCACTGCAGCTCAAAATACAGGCAGATTTGGCATGGCAGCAAGGTACCCACATATTATGGAAGGTAGAATGAACAGAAAAGCTAGATGATATAAACAATAATGATGCAGATAATCGCAAACTTGTACCTTTGTTATAGGGTCAAAAATCAAGCATGTCATCAGAGTAGCTCGATATTTTCTGTAAAAGCAAGTAGCAACAAAAGCTACTGTCAAAATGATACCATGATCATAAGGAAGGCATGAGAAATACCATGCTGATTGCACGTGGAAGAGTTTACCTTTGTTGGAGAACGTCGTTCTCAGGCAAAAGTAATGGCCACAGTGAAGTAAGTGATTTTGGGTCAGCACGACAAATATCCTTAAATAATTCAGAACAAGAATCAGATAACTTCTTGAATATCATGAGCATCATGATTATTTAGTGTTGCTTTTGATTATTAGATATCCAATAACTGACTATTAGAAGTTCAACAGGAAAATGAGAGTGTCTTTTAACAGTTAGAGACTTGAAGGAACTAATATATCACAGATCATGGTGGATGCAGATAGCAAATTGAATGTAGATATTCCTATTTACAAACTTTTGGTGTTCCAAAAGGTCACTCAATTCACAGAACTGAACAACCATAGCACTAACAATTCAAACTAGCATAGGGCAGAGGAATCAATTAGCTTGTCTTATTGGAGTATGAGCTTTATCTAAAAAGCTGCCCTCCACCCACCATTCCAAAAAGAAAGGAAAGAGCAATAGCTCGACTACGAAAGAAATCAATCTTACCTTCGTTGTAACAAAAAAACTAACTTGTACGAGCTCATACATGAGTAAGAGTTCAGAATGGGAACATCTAGTTTAGAAATTAGAATGTGTTGCATGGATACATACCTGTATACAAAGGATGGCAGCTAGTCTAGCTTTCGAACTCCTGAAACGGTCTCCACTTTTTGCATATCCATCAGTATCGCTCAGATCTGAATCTGAAGAGCCTAAATCATATCGAGAAGATTCACTATCTGAACTTCGATCGTCCAATGAATCATTTGTTTTTCCATCCTTTTTTCGTAAATGAGGTGGTTTATATCGTCCACGGCCAGAACCCCTGGATTGTGAGTCTGTTTTGTTTTCCTTTGGAGTTATTGCAGATGGCGAAGATGACCTTAGCCCATACACAAAAAACATTTGCAAATTTGCCACGAAACCTGCTACCTTGAAGTTTTATTCACAATGTTACAATCAGAAAGAGAGAGAAATCATATGTACTGTAACCACAGAAATGGATTTCCTTTGTATACTTACATGTCCTGAAAGTGAAGCTTTCGGTTCTGAAAGAACGAAATGCAGACAACGAAGAAAGGAAGTATAAAATCTGCAAGACAGTGAGGCTTAGCTTTGACTTTAGCTTTCATTAATTTCAAAGCAATATATGAAAAAACCGAAGTACTAACCTTGACATAACGCTACTCTCAATAATAAGGTTCCTTGCTGTCACAGAGTCCATAACTTTTCTCAAGACCTGCAGAGTGCAAAGGAGGAGATTGGAGTTGAAACAGAATATTAAACATTGCCACATAGCATGTCCACAGCACACATCATTCTGTGTGTGTGTGTGTGTGTGTGTGTGTGTGTGTGTGTGTGTGTGTTTGAACGTGAGCACCACTCTGTGCTTGGTTGTTAATGTTACATTTCTAGTGCATCATCAGCTGACAGCCTAAGTCTAGGTAATCAATCATGGGAGAAGTAGTAAAGCTGCTTGCAATGTTACAAAATCAGATGCTACAATGCCTGCCAAATTTCTGGTACAGTACTTGCTATGTCACCGAAATACCCAGCATGAAGCAGTATGTAAAATAAAGGAGGCATAAACTACTGACCTCAACAACAGACTGCCATAAAACTTCCGACATACTCGATGCAATCTTGCATAGTATATCTTCCATCATCGAAAATGCAGAGATTTCCATATCCCAGGTATTATAATTTTTATTATTCGTTGATACAGAAATGTGGGAGGAAATGCCAGGACCATTGGATTTATCTGTCATGTTCAGTTCAGCTTGCAAGCATGATATGATCAAGATAAGAACTCTGAGTACATGTGAATTCTCAGTTAATGAACCACCTCTTCCAAGATCCTTGCTCAAAAACCTGGAAGGGGAGGCAACAATTAAGAGCGGTGTAAAGACCAGGACTGGTGACTTTCAAATAACTGTGAATGATGCTAGTGTACATGCGTTGCAACAACTGATTACGTAGGCATCTACAGAAGTTCATCACTTAAGTACGTAAGTACGTCCCAAAGGGCTCCACCTCATCCAAAGGCAACACTAGAGGCACATCTCCAACAATTTGTACCATTCATCAATCATCATTCACATTAATTTCGTCACACCTTTTCCCCCATACTCACGATTCTCCCTCCGTTGC